GCATGGACCAGCAGTAAATCCATCACTCCTGAGTCTCTGCTGTCATGAAGAGTTCCTGACTGAGTTCAGTCTGACATGAAGCACAGAGTGTGTTCAGTCTGGACCATCAGACACTTCACTCATTCATCACTTCTCTCTGCAGCTGATTGTCATGGTGACCATCCAGAGAGGCTGAAGCAGCAGAGACTCTGACTGGACAATGTGAGGGGGAGAGAAGAGCTTCATCCAGCAGTGACTGACAGAGGAACCAGAAGAAGTGGAGATGACTCTCAGGGCTGCAGTAGACTGATCTGACAACAGCTCTAGAGTCCAGCATCATGCTGTGTGTTCCTCTGGATCTGAAAGAGAATCCTCAGAGAATCTTCATGCTCTACTGCTGCTCTGTCCTTCTACAGCATCTCTGCTGCCTCCTCCCCCTCCTCCACCCCATATATAGATCATATATACAGGCGACACTGGGAACTGAAGAGCGTAACTGCTTCGCTGCCGTATTGGATGGTCACTCACTCTCCAAAACCCAATTGGAGTCACCGTTAAGTGAGCAACTATGCCCGTTTTTGTGCAGCCTACTTTTCTAACAACAGGTGTAATACTGAAAACAGATCATGTGACATTTATTTGATTTGCATGCACTTTTTATTTAAGTTGGAATAATTTGATAATAAGGCATTTTCTATTAAATTATGAATTTTTGTCCTAATTCTGTTCTGGGTTTTAACTTTAAAGTAATAAAAAAGAAAACATCACAAAAAACTCTTGAGGTCAAGAAATTTTATTTAAATTTAGCAATTCAACGACGTGTCCATCTTAATTATTGAGTATCATCGGTATCAGTATTGGCGATACTAGCCCGTATTTACTTGGTATCGATACCAAAATATGCACACCACTAGTTTTAGGAACTACAAAAGGTTCCTACAGTCTGAAAGCACCTAAAGAAGTACAGCTGCTGCTATACCGCCCTCTAGTGGTCACTGTTGGCATTCCACCAGAATGATTTAGAAAGACATTTAATAAAAATTCATCTTAATGTTTCATTTCTGATGGAATATTTAAATAACGGGTTTAAATCTAGAAAATCACAGATGTAATAAATTTTGTAATGATTTAAACATTTCTGTCCAGAAGAATTCAAACATCTTCCAGAGAAAATCGTCTTGTTGTGAATTCAGAGATAAAAAGCTCTGAACACTAATCTGATGAGATGATAATTTAGAAGAAAAGCAGCTTTAAAAAGATGTAAATTATGTTGTGTGACTGTTGAATCTGACTTGATCCGACTGGTGGAACAAATGAAACGTGACTGAAACTGGAAACCGTCTGAATGCTGGAATCGAAGCTTTGCTGCCTTCAGATGACGGTTTGCTTCTAAATGATTTTGTGTCTCAACTATAGAATGATGGAAGGTCGGTCCCAGAACTGATCCTACTCTTCAGGACCACGGTCACCATCAGATCTAGTAGAAGTGTGGCATCATTTCCATTTAATGTGACAGTTTTCATGTCTACAGCAGACTGACTGATGAGGAGCTGCAGCTGCTGGTGTGAACACACTTGTGTTATTTCTGACAGAAATGAGCAGAAACATTAGAAATGTACGCAACTTCCCATCATTTTAATAGCAGAATCAGCTCAAAAGGAGCCGAGTTTCAAAAGCAGCATCAGTTGTTCCTTTGAGTTTGTCAGATTCCTTCTTGCTAAGATCTAGAACCAACACTTAGTAGCAAAGTCAACGTTAATCTAAGTGAAACGTCTCATGAAACTAAAGAATAACAGAAAAGTCAAATAAAAAGAAGTAAAACAAACATTGTCAGATATTTCCAACAAGCTGTAACAGCTGTTTTACTTGAAAGGACAGCAGAACCCACTCAGAACACCTGAATGATGGATTACACTCCAACAGTTCAGAACGTTCCACTGCAAACAACCTTTAATGCTCCAATGTTTCCTAAATCAGATCCTCCTAACAACCTTAGACAGAAGAAATGAGAGCTTCTTAATAAAAACACCATCATGGACCCTGTCAAGTGTTAATGATCCAATAGCTGACTGAAGCAGAACCACTCTGAACTCTGAGTTACAATCTAAACACACACTTCCATCTCTTCCACGTTCCCAGCTACAGTACAGATTGGAATGCAGACCTGATTCTGGGTGACCGACAGCTGCCTGCAGGAGTAGCTGAACCCAAGACTCCACTGCTTTTGTACCACTCAGCGAAAGTGCTGCTGACATGGCAACATCAATGGCTGATTCAAATTCAATTTAGTGCAGAGTTTTAACCTAAAGAGGGCGCTACACTGGCAGTTATGGTCTGAATATTTTAATTTTCTTTTGTCAGCAGCATTTTCTGACATTCATCATTCATGTTTAGCTTACAGCAACACAAGCAGCACACAGGCTGGTGGGCAGAGGCGGTTTTACCATTAGGCATAGGTAGGCGGCCACCTGGGGCCCCCTTGTTTTGGGGGGCCCCCTACTAGCCAGGACTGCCGGCACCCCTCTGTTAATGCCACAATATTCTTATTACCAACCTGTGGCTGCAGACGGGATTGGACATGTGAACTTCTCATTACCATAATTCCTGAACCGTTCAAGGTATCATTAAAATTCCAAAAGTGCTGAAAAGATTAAAAATGGGGCTTTTCGTGCATATACAATACATTACGGTAGCCACCGGGATTCCCTGTCTTGAGCGCAACGAATCACAACACAGATTCAGAGACGTGCTGAGTTTGTCATCCAAAATGCTCCGATTTATAACTTTTGAATGGCTGATCAGATTCAAATAACGGTTCCTAAAAGGACATAAAAGCAGCTTTCCAACGATCTATAGCATGAAGCAATCAGAGTTAGGGAAAATATCGCTACGAGGGGAAATCCTGCTGTACAGCCTGATTGAAACGGAGCACAGCGCCACGGTGAAAGCGGATAACGGAACAGGGAAGCTAATCAGCATAAAAAACCAGCATGAAATTATGGAAATGCCTCAAAGATAATCAACACGATCTGTTAGGTGTCCCAGAAGGCTTATATCTGAAGACAGTGACCACAAAGAAGGACAGATCTCCGGTGAACCAGGGTATGAATGATTGTTCCGTCTTTATATTTTTTTTTTATTTGAACAACCCTCAACTATTTGCTAATTGTAAGATTCAGCTTCAGTCCAGCATTGTTTATCTTTTTACCATAAATAATTACTTTTGCTAAAACAAAAGTTTTTGGTATAGCAGTGCACGGTGTGCAAGAGAAGCACCCCATGGCAGTGTGAGGTGTGCTGGTTCTGTTTACCCTCCCATTTGGACCACATCAAGCCGGAGGGGAAAAAAACACGCTCTCTGGCGGCTACAAGGCGAAACTAAAGCCAGAGTGGGAAAAGGAGCAAGCAGTGTTTCTGGAGAACTGAGAGATGCAGGAAGATCAGAGACAGACACGACAGGAAAACCAAGAAAACAAAACAAAGCTCTTAACAAATAAAATGTAGGTAGATTTATCCAACTACATGTTTGTACCTTTGTTAAGCCATAACTTCACATCATGTAATATTTATGTATTTGCAAAACTCGCACCCAGGGACGTATCAAGGCATTTTGGGGGCCGAGGGAAAATAGACCCCTGCCAGATATTTTAAATTGAGGTGCTATTAGTTTTTATATTAGACTTTTTAATATTCTCAATAAAGTTCAAAAGTGAAGAATTTATGTTATTTATTACTTCGTTGTTTATCAAATGGCTGAGGGCAAATAAACCTGATCGGGAAATCCTCATCACAAGTTCCTTTTTAACTAAGCAGATCAAATGGATCTACTGATCACAAAAATAGCGGAGTGTGCGCTGCGCTGCCCAGCGGTGCCAGTGAGGTGAAGTTGTCGAACCACAGGTGATGAGCGCTGTAGCGACAGAGTGCGTCTATATGCACCAGGCTTGAATAAAAAACAGAAATAACTAGAGAGAATATGAATGGACATGAACAAGTGTGTATTAATCATATATATTTTTGGGTGTCGCCACTTTGAGAAAGTTACTGTAGCCGTGTGCAGGACGCAGTCAGCTGCCTGGAGTGCATGAATAATCAGCGGTCTGCCGCTCTCTGCGTCTCCGCTCAAAAGAATTCTCACTACCCTGAGGATCCAAATAAATAATATAATAAAGGTAGGAACTGGATCTTTTTTCAGGCTCCCCCTGGGTGTGTAAGTTGAGGGCTTTAGGGGAGCTCGAAAATCTGTCAGGAGAGGAGGAGCTAGGTTCCCCTTAGCTCTCCTGTAACCCTGTATCCGAGTTTGGATCGGGAAGTAATCCCAAGCAAGTCTGAAACCACGTGATCGGGACAGATTTTCGATCACGTGATCGGATCGGGACATCCCTAATTAAAACTTTATTTATGTAAGTGTTAAACACAATGTGTGGAGTCAAAGTGCTAAACCCACCTAGCTACTAGCCTGGCCAGCCAGCCCGAAGCATTAGCATGCCTAGCTACAGCACTCCTGAGGAGGGGAATTGATGCCCTCCAGTGGCAACAAGCTGGGACTTCACTTTGGTTCTGGTGAATCATTAAAACAGAAAACTGGAGTTTTTTTCTCAGAGGACACCATCTAGGGGCGGAAAAATGTATTGCACCTTAAGCCCCTCTCCGTTCTTCCTGATTACGGCAAGAAGCAAAGCCTCATTCATGAACGCACACCTGTAGTTGGACAGCATAGCTAAAACACATTGTTTAACAATTATTATAATAAGAATAATAATTATTCTTGCAATATGCCTTTTACTCTCCCTCTCCCACACACACACACACACATGCGCGCACACACACACATACATATATACACATATACATATGCATATGTATATACACACACACACACACACACACACACACACACACACACACACACACACACACACACACACACACACACACACACACATATATATACATACATATAAATTTGCATTAAATATATTAATACATGGCCTGACACATTTTGCATCGGTTAGTATAATGTGTTTTTTTAACGTAAAGGTGGCGTGAAGCATCATCTGATCCTTCCTCTGAGAGCATCGTCTTCCTCTCTGAGCGTCGTGCAGGAGACCTGCTGTCGACACAGAGCAGAACACAGTGCAAGAGGAGCCTTGCATCACAACAAATGTCTCCAAACAACAACAAAAAGAGGATAAATTCTTATGGACTTCAGGACAGAATTATTTTTAAGCACATGGAATTATCAATAAGCATCTTTTAAAACCAGGTGAGTTTCTTTTGGTTTTATGTTTTTTACGTCTGTTGTAACAGTTTTAGGTCTTTTTGACAGATTACCTATAATTTGGATGCTTTTTAAACTCAACAAGTGGGTATCATTATTATTAAACACATCCTAATACATTGGAATTAGTTTAGTAAAAGGTTTATTTATCCATCCGACTGCCCATCCTTCTGTTAGCTGACTTATAAGGAGGGATCTTGGCTCCTGCAGCCGTCTCCCCTGCAGGGCTGAGCTGTTTGGCTAGCTCGTCACTTCCTCAGCAGAGGGGCTGCTGGTAGGTGTAATATCTGAGCAGGTACCACAAACAAACAAGTGCTGGCTCCAATAACAGAGGATGAGCGGCCAATGACAGGATTTGCAGGATTTCTTCTGATTTGGTGAAAAAAATCTGACAGATTGTTGGGGCTGCACATTTTTTGCTCATTAGTCACAGAGTGTTTGCAAACTGACTTGTTTGTTTGTGTCTCTGCAAAAGGTCATGAAGCCTCAAGAGGCCGAGCTTGTCTCGGAAATCTCAAAGGTAAATTCCTGTCAGCCTTTTTTTTAATTAAAGAGACAGACCATCTCAAACTATTTTCTTTTTTTTATTTGTCATCATCAGCCTTAGTGTCCAAACTAAAACAGAGTTTAGATTATTTAGATCATTCAAATGATATTTATTTCATTATGGCTCTCTTTAGCTACAATGCATGGTGACAGAGTTGAAAATGGGCTTCACCAGCACCCGGCTGGAGATCAGCCAGATCCAACATGGAGACACTTACCTGAGGGAGGAGCTGGAGGAGAGCAGAAGGAGCTGTCAGAAAAAAGCTCTTCGACTGGAGGTCCTGGTCGAATCACTGAGGGTTAGACTCAAACAAACAATAATGAGTGTCAAAATTACTGTGATGAGTTTTGGAGCTGAAATTAATCTCAGGTTACTTCAACTCACAGGAAGAACTTGGAGTGATGAGGGGTCAAATCGTGCAGCTGAATAATAAACATGGACCTCAGGAGGAGGGAAAGAGTGCCACTAACCAACAGAGAGAAAGGTAAAATCTCAAAAACAAAGCTGCCTTATCAACAATAACGACTCATTTCAAAATGCATTTTTGTCTGCATGTTTAACTTAGTTATTTAATTTTATCTACACTAAAAGATTTTACTGAAATAATCTTAATTTGGACGCATCAAAGCATTTTTAGTTCATATAACTGTTTCAATGTTGTGCAGCAGTGATCCTGCAGAAGTAGTCGGTGACCAGAGTCAGCCCAGGTGTCCCCCAGCATACCTCTCCAGAGGAAAACTGCTTCTGCACTGCTTCCTGCAGGGTCTTAAAGCTGGACTGAATGAAGGCACGGGTGAGTTTAGAGGAGAGATTTCAGCCGACAAGAGGTCATGAGTTTGGTTCTGCTGGGAAGCATGGAGGAACCTGAATATTTGCTTTGGTTTCACAGATGCTCGACATCAGGTGGCGATGCAGCTCCTTCATTCTGAGTGGGAATATGTTTCCACCCTAAAACAGCTGTATGATAAGTATAAAACACCAGCGGCTCACCAGATGACTGTGGAGCCATAGTATGTAGTAGCACAGATGAAAGAAATGCGGTCAGTGTTTAGACTTTGTAATAAGCGTGCTTTTGATTTGATGCAGTCAGACGTACGTGAGGTTTGTGGAGCAGCTGTTGCAGCGACAGATTCTCTTCAGAAACACCCTGCAGGAGCGATTGACTGCAGAACACTGGAAGTCTCTGGTTGGAGACATCCTGGTGCAGCTCATTGGTCAAAATGATGTGAGTCAGCAGTCTGCTTGTAATTTGAATGCATTCAGTTAATTACTGCAAACTATGATGGGCGAGATGATCAGATTTATTCTGTTTTGGGTTTTTCCAGACAGCTTTTTCTGACATGTACCTTGGATACACAACTACCCTGGCATCATTCCTCTCACTGGAGTTCAACAGACTCAATCAGCCTGAGAAAACCCATAAAATGCAGGTATTTCTCATAATGTTGGTCATTATTTCAATAAGACCCACTAAAAGAAACATGGGGGACTGAGATCTAAACAAAAGACACTTTATACTTAACTCAGGAGTTCCTCATGGATGTGTACTCGGTCCTTTTCTATGTACTCTGCTGACACATTTTAAATGATAAATGACCTGCACTTATGTAGCATCTTTTTGAATCAGAGGACTCTAAAGCATGTCATTCACACAAACTGGTGGTGAAGAGCTACAATGTAAGCACAGCTGTTCTAGGACACACTGACAGAAGCAAAGCAACTGAGCACATGCGCCACTAATCCTTCCAACCACCACCACCAGCAAGGAGGGTGAAGCGTCTTGCCCAAGGACAAAACGACTGTCACAGAGAAAAGATGGAGCTAGCGTTCAAGCTCACCAATTATAGGCCGAACTCCTAACTCCATGATTGCACCCCAACACTTAACACAAACCAGCCGTTGACAACACAGCAATGAGGCTAATAAGCAATAATGCTGATTTTTACAGAGAGGTCAAATGGAGAGGGAAGAAATGAAACTTCTCTCTTTGTTGTTGGCACCTGTCGCTCGCATACACAGCTACCTGAGTCACATTCAGGTGAGCCAGAAGAAACTCTGATATGTTGGAGTTATAAAGCATAAAATTTGATATGTAACATTTCAAATACATTAGATTGTGTTTCATATTGTTTCTGTAGAGCCTGTTGCAGTGGACCGGTAAAGAGCATCCTGACTGCAGCCTGTTGTTGGGAACTGAGCGAGCACTGAGGAGCATTTTGTCCCATTGCCATGGGATCTTGGAGAAAGATGTTCGATGGGAGGAAGAAGCAGAGCCTGGACAAAGGTGAAAATGTATAAACACTTAACTGATGACCTATAATTGTCACAGACTTACGCTTTTACCTGGAGATTTTAATTTATTTTACTAACAGAATTCGTATTGAACACAGGAGTACCTCATGGATGTGTACTCAGTCCCCAGCTCTTTGTTGACATGACTGTACAGCTAAATTCAGCACAAACCAGCTCATTAAATTTGATGATTACACAGCAGTGGTTGGATTCAATTGTCTTTAATAATTAAATATCTTACAGATCTGAGGTGGAACAGCTAGTGTCAACAATCTGTTTCATAACATGAACAAAACTAAAGGGTTGATCGTGGACTTTAGAAAAGAGGTTGATCACTTCCTCAGACACTAATGCGTCCCCTCACAAATTAACACCACCGAGGACAGTAGTGGTTCTAGAGTATACGGCAACCTGGGTGAGACATTTACTGAACTCATCGACTCCACATTTGAACACATATCTAACTTCTGCACCTTATTTAAAACTATGTACACTTTTTTACAACTGCACAAGTACGATCCAGCTTTGGATGCAACTGATCAAGTTTTCTTGATGCGTTTTCACATCTAGCACATTTCTGTATACTTTTTCTTGCTTATCCACAATTTAAGAGGTTTCCTCCTCACGTTATCAGCAGTTCTTGTGACGCTGTGGTGGCTGCGTCTTCTGGAAACTATTGCACAATGAGCCAGCAGACAAGAGACAAGTCAAATGCTGCTGCTCAGAGGTGAGTGACTCCCTCTGCTGGCATCAAATGTTACAGAAAAAAAGACCAATTACCTAAAAAATAGCTTAGCAGTTTAATTAATTTCAAATTCATGTTTGTACTGTAGTTTTACCATTAAATATCACGGTGGAGGTATTCTGTGACTCTGTGTTCTCAGAGATTTCAAGCCGACTGTCCGCCTAACCAATGGCCTGGATGCCTGCCACTCAATGCGCCTGGAGTGCTGGTCCTGCAGCCCAGTGAGGAGGAAGGGCTGCAGAACAGACCAAGCTGCTCTGAGCCAGCCAGCCTATGACTGTGGCCATGCACACTGCTCTCTCATCACCCCAGATATTGCAGGATGGGGAGAGAACAGCGACTCAGGACAGGGCACCTTCAGCCAGCTCACAGGGAAATGCACCAACGAACTGAAGGCTTCACATGTGAACCATGGCCTTGAGGACTGTGAGACAGACCCCGATGACACTTCAGCTTTCGACTACTCCTCTGTCACCTCCTGCAGCCCCGATGACACCCTGCGCAGGGAGATGATAGATAGCAATAGTGGTGAGGAGGAAGAAGACAGCCAGGTGCCTGTGCTGCTTAAGCCATCGTACAGCCTACAGCAGCAGGAACAGCAGTCCAAGGAATCTCCCAGAGAAAGAACTGTGTGTCTGAGGTGGCAGATTCCCAGACTGACCCCACATCCTCCTCTTGGGAACCCTGCAGGGCCGTATGCAGATGGACCCACGCCGTGTCCCGTCAGCTCTTTTGGGAAAAGATTAGTCAGCGTCAGGAAAGGATCACCCCCTCTCCACCCAAAAAGTGCCTTCAGGCCCATTTGGGATGATCCGTCGAAGCAGGTAAAGAACATTACTTTTATCTGAGTATTTAAAATGTGGCTTAAAAACAGGAAGAAAAAAACAGCTTTAAACTTGAGAACTCACTCTCTTATCAATGGCCACTTTGGAATTTAGCACCCCCTGGTGGAAAATTAGTGCAACACAAATAAACAGGAAAAACTACAAAACACTTTTATTCTGGTCTGACCTCAAGAGTTTCTCCAAAACTTTCTATTTTCATTCATTTCTTGACAACATGAAACCTGTCATTTGTTTTTCTGAGATCAAATTCCTCTGTTTTTTTTAATCCAACTCTCTTCATGCTTCAGGCTGATTTAGCTCCAGAGAAGGACAACAGACAAGGGTTCTTACCAATTCCAACTACAGAGCGGCCAAACTTTCAGAACTTTATCTCCAGCAGGGAGAATCTAAGGTGAATCCATTACATACAATCCTGTTTTAAAAAGTATCGTCAGTCTCTGAAGGATCCAGTCAGTTCTGTGACTTTCATGTGTCCTCTCTACCTCCATAGGCCCATGCCAAGTCAGCAGCGAGGGAACCGTACAGCAGCCGTAAGCAGTGAGAGACTGTGGAACAGCGAGGACAGCGAGGGACCATGCAGCACCGTTTGACTTCCATCTCTTGCAACAATGAAAACCAGCAAATGGACAAAGTTTTGTAGATACTTAAAAACCTAGACACAATTTGGACCTTCTGTCATAAAGGCATCAGGCTGAAATGCAGGAAATTAAAAATAAATATTACATAGATGTTTTTTGCAGATTACATTTCAAATTGAAGCTAACTCAATTAAATAATTAAAGGTGCATGATGTAAAAATGATGTAAGAATGACATCCTGTGGTCAAATCTGGGTACTGCAGCCCATTTTCAAAACAAACTGCTTTCTCACTACCGTTCTGTGAGTTTCATGGCTGTTGCCAGTTACGGCTAAGCTCCAAAATGATGAGCTTCTAGATGACAAGTGGTGACAAGTCAAATATAGTAAGTCGTTAAGTAGTTGAATACATTTCACTGTAATTCACCGTTAGCGTAACATTAGCCTCTAGCTTTCTTTACCCGATATTAGAGTAAAACAAAAAAATGCTGTGGATTCTTAAGGGTACAAGAAATAAACTTCTGGGTTGTTCCATGGCGGGCTCAAGCCTAATTTATACTTCTTCGTCTGCGTCTGGACGGAGACACGCAATACCACTATCCGTCCTCGCGAGCCTGCTGGAGAGAGCTCGCAAGGAAGGACGGAGTCAAGCTCTTTTCTAAACATCTGTCTGAAGAGACGGAGAACGCAAGCTTGTGATTGGTCAGGACATCGTTGTGGTCAACAGCGTCGCCATTGCCCCCTCAAAAACATAAAGAGAGTCGAGGATATCTAGCAGCAGACACGGAGCAGCTTGAAGAATACCTCGCAGAGAAACTAAAAAAATATGAATGTTTGATTCCCCCGTGACTGGAGGAGTGAAAAGATACGCTGCAGGCGTTTTATTTGTAGACAGATATGATGGGAAGCGTGGCTTTAGAGGTGGCGAGTGCATGAAGAGATGGAGGAGAAGGAGGGACAAATTTGTCCATGTTAAATGGTCTCTTAAATACAAAAAACACAATATTTAATGCTCTAACTTGGACTGGATACATGACAGGACAGCTACGCCCTCTATTGTCCTCCCAAGGAGGAGAAGTCAGAGAGTAATATCTCCGTCCATCTGTCCGTGCTTGTCTCTCCTTCGTGGAACTGTCGGAGAAGTATAAATTAGGCTTTAGGTCTTTTAAAAAATGCTGCAGCTTTTTACAGGCTCAAATGGACGCCAGGGATTTTTCAAGAAAATGTACAATTTTGACATGATTCTTTCAAATGGTTGTAGCTTGAAAATGGTTTGAGATAAAAGTAAACTGTAAAGGAGAAAAACCTTCAGACGGTCCCAAAATTTGTGTTGGGAGCAAATTCACTCATCTAATTTGCACATTATGACATCATCAGGCTGCCATTTTGGAATACATCACTTTTACAGACATTCCTTTTTATTTTTACGTTAATATGACATTTTGATTATATTTTTATTTATCTATACATAAAGTTCTTTAGTTTTAATTTCAATTTTTATTGTTTGTATTTTTTAATATTTATATTCACTCAAGAGAAATGTCTGTGACATACTTTTACTTCTGCCCTTTTTTTTGGTTTACATTCCCACTGCATGAAGCCGCAGCATCAGAGGGTGAATATTCCTCTTCAGAACCATTACTACAAGAAATTTGCCAACAATGAACAGAGCTGTCAGTATTGTGCATTTTTGCTTAAATATTCGCCCTCTGAGCTTTGCTCGTCTCCTCTCCTCAGCCACAGTTTTCAGTCTATTCATCCATCCATTTTCGTCTGCTTATCTGCGGTTGGGTTGCTGGAGAAGTAGCCTAAGCAGGGAGGCCCAGACTTCCCTCTCCCAAGCTACTTGAACCGGCTCCTCCGGGGAATCCTAAGGTGTTCCCAGGCCAGCCATGAGACAGTCTCCAGTGTGTGGGTCTTCCTTTAGGTCTTCTCCCAGTTGGACGTGCTCAGAAAACCTCACCAGGGAGGCATCCTAACTAGAGGCCCGAGCCACCTCAATTGGCTACTCTCGATGTGGAGGAGCGGCACGTCTATTCCGAGACCCTCCCGGATGACAGAGCTTCTCACCCTACCTCTAAGGGAGAGCTCAGCCTCCCTGTGGAGAAAATCTGCGATTGCGTTCTTTCGGTTACTAGCCAAAGCTCGTAACTATAGGTGAGAGTAGGAACGTAGATCGACCGGTAAATCAAGAGCTGAGCATTCCAACTCAGCTCTCTTCACCACGACAGATCGGTACAATGCCTGCATCACTGCAGACGCAGCACCAATCCATCTGTCGATCTTGCGCTCCATCTTTCCCTCACTCGTGAACAAGACCCCGACATACTTAAACTCTTCCACTTGGGGAATGACCTCATCCCTGACCTGGAGTAGGCATTTTACCCCTTTCCGACTCAACACCATGGTTCCGACTCAAGACCAAAAATTTTCAAACTCTATAAACTCCCAAAAATTCAATAGAAATACCCAAAAGTGTTGCTCAAATTCCAGTTACACATCTCCACTATCTTCTGGTGTAAAGTAATAACTTCATGAGGGATTATATTTGCAGCTGCGGCTCGTTAAACTCGGCAATGACATTTGTCGTAATTTTGTGACTTTGGTGCTTAAAGGGTTAAAAATGGCAGCGCAGCAGCGTTAGTCGACCCAGACATGTAAACAAAGACCATGTCCCTCTTTGGCCTTTTCGAAAGGAGAAAAACTGGCAACCCCGTATGGCAGCTGAGAGGAAACTCTGTTTCAGGCCCTGTCCACACGTAGCCAGGGATCTGCCAAAACGTAGATATTTTTCTACGTTTTGGCCTGTCATCCACACGAAAACAGAGTTTTTCACACGAAAACGGATCTTTTTTAAAAACTCCGGCCAAAGTGAAGATCTGCGTTTTCTCCGTTTTGGGTGTCTGCGTGTGGACAGACAAAACCAGAGTTTTAAGGTCCGCAACGTCACTTTCCGCGACAAAAAAAATGCCGATATCATGTGTGCGACCTGTGTTTACACTAGCCGACAGCATGGATGCCCTCAGAGCTGCGCTCGCTTTATCAATTGTCCAAGCGCTTTTTGCTTGTTTGTTTTTGCAAGTGGAATTACTGCTCCTTGCTGAAGACCACAGACGAAGGACGAGGTTAAGAATGGGGGCAGTACTGCCACCTACAGGTCTGGCATGTCCTTAACGTGTTTATCCGGGTACGTGTGGACAGGTTTTTTTTAAAACGAGGTGGTGTGGATGCAAGTTTTTGGAGGAGCGGATATTTGTTTTTAAAAAAACCCGGCTACGTGTGGACTAGGCCTCAGTGTAACCTTCCTTCCAACTTCGAGACAGCAGACTTTTGATTTCACTGTAAAATTCTTACATATTGTACCTTTAAATTTGTCCGACAATGCAGAACATAAAAGATGTTAGATGGTTTAAAATATTGGAAAAACAAACAAAAAAGGGTCAATTTGTGGTTTATTAACGGAATGAAGCTGAATCCAGCAACCTGTTTTTTAATTGGTCAGGATTAATGACATGATTCAGATTCATCGGACAACAAATTCTAGTTAACCTAAAAAGCAAAATCAGTTCCCAACCTGTCCACAAGGGGCGTCATAACAAAAACTAATGCCTGTCGGATGATTTAGACTAAAGTTTTGATAATTGAAGCCAGTTAAACACTTACTACATTACCCCATTTGTTCCACTCACCTGTGTCTCAAAGATGAGACAAACCTTCCATTCGTTTCTTTATGTTAAGAAGCAACTTTTTACAGCAAATTAAGAAGAAAACAAACAAGTAATGAGTAGTTCAGTACAAAATAAGACTGGGTGATTTATTAATCTCATCAAGACCATTAATACAAAGCAGTTAAAAGGCCACATACCATCAAATAAACTGATTGCTGGATCAAACCGTTACAGTGCCGTCAAGAAAAGAACAAACTTGGTATTCTACTGGGATTTTTTAAAAAAACTACAAATGAAACCCTAAAAAGATCCTTGCTAGGTTAACGCCACCAATACTGACACAAGAGACGTAGGAAACAGGCTAAATGCGGGTCAAAACATTGAAGAGTTCTTCCATCTGGTGCTGGTCCAAACACCACGGCGCACGAGGAGGACGGATCTGATCTGTGGCTTTTTCTCTTTAGGCCTTTGTCCATGATGGTCAGGCACCCTCCGGTGTTTGTGTTGCATACAAACATCAGAGCCAGAAAGAGCGCGAGGGGTAAAAGTGAGGTGGTAGATGTGGTTTTCTTTTTTTTCTGTCCCGATCCTCATAGAGAGCTAGTTTTAACAGTTGCACAGGGTCACTGTGTTTACAAACATCCCTGCAACAACTCCGGCTCAACAGTACAGCCTAAAGTGCACAAAGTGTGTTTCTCTTGAAAAACATCCAATTCTTCATTCTGCTCCCCGCCCCCCAAAAAAAGCAAATGAACTAATTTATTCGTTCTACTACTCGACCTCCTTTCAATAAGTGTCAGAAAGTCTTTGAAAAGGAGACAAAAGGCATTTAGTAGGATGTACAAAGTGAAGCACGTATCTAAATAAGTGCTGGGCATATGGAGCGAGTTATTTCAATCACCTAATCAGTGAGGAAGTTTCCTGGTAAAGACTACCAGTGGAGATTATCGGTAATTTAATCTAGTTGTTACTGACCATAGCAGCAATGGAAACATCTGACTGAGCAATGGCTGATGGGGGGGGGGGGGGGGGGGGGGGGGGGGGGGTCACTTTGTACAAATTATTTAGTTAAGTGTATACATGTTATATATACACACAGTATGCACAAACATGTACAGGTTCATAGTGTTGAGCTTTGTTCTAAACATTACATAGGCAACTTTATCTTTAAGCCTTTTAGACACCATTTCCATCAAGTAGAAAACAAACTAAAAAGGCACATCTGAGCATGATGCATGGGTTTTTTTCAGTCTTTCCAAAGTGAAACAAAAAAGTTTCAAGCGGGGGAGAAGAAGATACAGATGAAGAAGCAGGGTTAAAAGTTCCTCTTTTTCTTGAGTTTTGGATATCAGGAGCAGCCAGTGGGGAGAGCGCAGGCTGGCCCTGCTTTGGTGGGAGAACGCATGTTTCCAGTGCAAGAAAAAACGGATAAAAATGAAGACGAGTTGGCCAAACTTGGTGGAGCAGTGTCAGACAGCAGTGTGTGTCCTTAAGGGAACTGGTTAAGAAGACATCAGCTGGCGCAAAGCAGGACAAGTCCTCGTCTTCGTCCTGCGTCCCTCTGTCACTGTAGTGGACAGCAGTAGCTCAACAGGGTTGTCCAGTAATCGGAAGGTTGCAGGTTCGATCCCGGCTCCGGACAGAATTCTGCTGTTGTGTCCTTGGGCAAGACACTTAACCCACCTTGCCTGCTGGTGGTGGTCGGAGGGACCGGTGGCGCCAGTGCTCGGCAGCCTCGCCTCTGTCAGTGCGCCCCAGGGCAGCTGTGGCTACATCGTAGCTCATCACCATCAGTGTGTGTGAATGGATGAATGATACACTGTAGTGTAAAGCGCTTTGGAGTCTTTACTCTGAGAGGCACTATACAAGTGCGGGTCATTTATCGTTTTCTTTTCTTCTCTTTTTAAATAGTCGAATCCAAACCAGCTGACTTTGCCCTAAATTTGTGCAAAATGAGTTTTTCGTGCTCACCCGTGTTCCCATCTGGGCAGATAGGACTGGAGCCTGGGGGTCAGAGGTCACAACTGTTGGATTTTGAAAGGCAACTTTTAGTGGCTGTGGAGAGGCTTCAAACAAAACAAAAACAGTCAAAACAACCATTTGACTTTTGCTACTTTACAGTCACAGTGTACAGCTGAGACACAAAGTGGGGGTTCACCTCTGGTTCGTGGGTCTTTTAGTGTCACATTTGCAAAAAAAAAAAAAAAGAAGAAAATCCCTTTTCCCCTGCATAAAATAAGACTTTGGCAACGGCCTTCAGCTGGTAGGGAAAGCAAATGAACATGTCGCTCACACCCACCATAAGGACAATGATTCAGCTGATCGTTGAGACTGTAAATTTCTGCGAGCTGCAGCAGGAATCCAGATGACGTCAATGCACCCCCCCCCCCCCCCCCCCCCAGAAGAAAAAAGCACAGTTGAGGCCACAAAGTCCAAGTCTCTTTAGAGTCCCACCTCCCTGCTGTTAGAGAGGAGAGCCGTGGAGTAAGAGAAGAGTGTTAGGAGTTTAACCAGAAGAGGTCCCACTCCTCAGACACAAACGCTTTATGTTTATTAGCTGGCACACTGGTGTGGGGTTATCATTGGCACAGAGGGTTTCTGATGGAGGTGGAGCTACTGATCACCTGAGAGGCACAGCAGGTGGGAGCAGGCTGAGTATAGAGTGGACATTGCAGTGTTTGTTCGTTCAGATCAGTAGCTTTGTGGGAGCAGTGTCAAAGTTTGTGTTTCCATGGCTACAGAGCAGACTCACTGGCTGCTGTTGGTGTTCTCCACCAGCGAGAGGTCTTGTAGCGGTGGCTGCAGCGCCTCCCTTTTATAAGTCTTTGGTGGGAGTCTTGGGATCTGTGAGATGGGAATCGGTGAGATGGGGATTTGGCGCGGGGGAACAGGTGGACCGGTGTTACTGACAGAGCAGAGGCTGTTCTGGCTGGCGCTGAGCGGACAGCCTCGCCTGGGGATCCGGGGGGACGGCGTGCTGGGTGGGGTGTTGGGCGAGTTCGGCGAGCTGCCAAAATCCCAGTGGTATCGGCCCACGGGCGAAGGCTGGGGGTAGTTGATGAAGATCTCTGGGGGCCGTTGGGGCACAGGAGGAGGCGTGTGTGGGAGAGGATCTCGGGGTGGAGGAGTTGGGGGGCCGTTGTAGACTACTGGCCGAGGCACTCGGGGAGGGACAGCTGGAGGGCTCTTGGAACAGGGGCTCAGCTGGAACAGGAAAAAAAAAACCAAGCGTTAAAAATATCACAGGTTTTTACTTCCTTAGGATTCAATTGTTGAACAAAATCAGTTTCATAATGGTCTCTTACTTTTGCTTCAGACAATAGGTCTTTCCTACGAGGAGGTAAAGGAGGTGGCTTTGGTTCCTCTCCAAGCTGGTGCAGGCTGCTACACGAGAAAGACTGGAACTCTGAGAGAAACAGAAAACACATGAAAGGGTGAATGAAAGTCACACAGCTTCAGTAAACTATGAGTGATGAACAACAGAGACTCACTCGGAGGCAACTGAACTGGAGCAAATAAAGAGCTGCTGCCTGTAACGTTCAGACACAAAAACGACTGTTAAACACATGAATGTTGATTCTGTCCTACACGGACGTGAATCTGTTCTCTGAACATGTGCAAGCAAAGAAGACACGGAGACTCACCGCCGATGTGATCGTCGCTCAAGAAGACCGAGTTCATGTCAGAAGAGGCGGACTGTGGAGGGGTTGGTGTGTTGGGGGAAGTGGGAACCGAGGCGGACGCCGAAATTTCCACGTCGCCCTCGGCGATACTGCGGAAGGTGATCTTGTGCGGGGGCTCCCTCTCCAGGGGGACAGGGTGGCCCTTCAGGGTACCAGAGGTAGATGTTCGCAAGGGCCGGATGCCCGGCGATTTCAGATTGTACGTCATCTTCTTGTTCTGAGTGGTTGAGAGATGGATTTAGACTTGCTTTCGCAGAAAATATAATGAACTTAATAGATGCATTAGCTGTAAAAAAAACTTTAGACAATGCTGCACCAACAAACGGCAATAAATCAGTACACAATCACAATTATTTGTTCATTTTTAAAGATCAAGTTCATTGAGAAACTGTTTTAAAATCATAGGCTAAATGTGAAAATTGTCTTCTACCCCTATTTCCTGCATTAGCTGCTGACAGAAAACAGACGGGAAAACGCACGAGTCAGAAAATTCCAGTCAGATCTACGTCACGCTGTCACTTAACATTCATGGACTCACCCGTCTTGGCTCGCGACGGGGAAGGCTGTTGTTGGTTTAGCGCCCAGCAAACAGCAGAGAACATCTCAGCTAATAGAAGCTAAATGTTAGCATTAGCAACTCCACCACATGGCAGAACTCCTTCAGGCTTAAGTTATTTGTGGAGATAAAACATTAACGTTGCAAAACAAACGGAGGTAGTGGAAGAGTTGCGTTGTTGTTAGCCAATCAGAGGTGAGATGTCCAAATATCATGAAAAATAATGAGTAAGAGTCCAAACCCTGCTGTTTTCTGCTCCCCACACCTTTGGGCTAGCTTCTACATCGTGAAACAAGAGCACCAGGGCTCACGACTCATTCATTCATACTAGAGACCACTGGAAATGTAGACTGAATGAGAACTTTAACATTTTTAAACTAATTTGTTTCTGAACAATGCAATATTCTGCCTTTAAAACAGAGCACTAACATAAAAAAAAGTAGCAGTATAAAATAATTAGCAGCCGCATGCCAACATGTGCTGCATGGTTGTTAGCACTGTTGCCTCACAGCAAGAAGGTTGCAGGTTCGAAACTCGGCTGCGGCCTTTCTGCGTGGAGTTGCGTGTTCTCCCCACGCATGCGTGGGTTTCCTCCGGGTAATCCGGTTTCCCCCACAGATCACAACATGCACTACAAGTTAAAAATTGTACGTCGCTTTGGATAAAAGCGTCTGCCAAATAAATAAACATAAACATGTGGGCGAGAAATTAACGTAATCGCAGTGCAAATCACAAACTACAGTCTAGGATATTTTTTCTGGATAATTTTTTGCCATATTGCTTGAACTGCTTTTCACATACCGATGGCAACTAATATGTTAAATAAATTAAAAAAATAAAGAAAAATTTCAATTGCTTCTGAAACGTACACCCCTGGAAAAACTTCATCCAATTATGAGCTGGTCCCCCTCATAGAGGACTGCATCATAACACACCCATGCAACTGTTCCTCTGAACATCACACCCCCCGCTCCACAAAACACCCTCTTTGGACGAAATCCTTGTTCTCAGCCAAGCAGCTTAACAGGAAGTGAAGCTACCTTTAGTGTCATGGATGGAGTGTTCTGTTCTGTTCGCAAATTTCATTACACTAAACACCATCAGCTGAGGGCCTTTTGAGTTCAAAACACAAATATCTGCTAAAAATAGTGCATTTCCCATCAAAACACCTCCAAATGCTCTTTATATAGGAGGAAAATCAGGGAAAACAGTTGCATTTATTTCAAGACCTAAACTGCTTTAAAACTTTAGCTGACTGTGAAACAGGATATGCAAATCTCAGCAGCCACTCATAACACCTGTTGGAAATGGAGTCTGTCCAACAAGTCTGCTCTCAGGAGCTGCAGCAGTTAGTTACCGCCAAACTGTTGCAGCATTTGACCAAGCTCTGAGCATCTCTGCAGAGGCCTAAATATTCTAACGCTGCTTCAGTGGGCAGTCCTGCTTGTTGCAGAGCAGACATCCATGTTCAGAACTGAGAAAACCTGCAGCTGACCTATTTTTAAAACACTAACCTCTGGGAAATAATAAGAAAAGAGACCTGTAGATCTGAATCGAGCGACATCAAAGCCTAGTTTATGCTTCTGCGTCTGTGTCGGTGCAGGGACACGCAACACCATTATCCATCCTTGCGAGGGCTCTCCAGCAGCGTCGCAAGGAAGGACGGCGTCGGGCCCACTTTTCTAAACATCCGTCTGACGAGACAGAGAACGCAAACTTGTTACTGGTAAGGACGTCGCTTTCATCAACAGCACCGTGATCGCGTTCTCAAAAACAAAAAGAGTCAAAGATATGTAGCGGCAGACATGGAGCAGCTTGAAGAAAACCTCGCGGAAAAACTAAAAATATGAACGTTTTATTCACCCGTGACTGGAGGAGTAAAAAGATACACGGCAGGCGTTTTATTCGTGGATGGGAATGAGGGGAAACGTGGGTTTAGAGGTGGCGACCACATGAGGTGGTGGAGGAGAATGAGGGACAAATGTGTCCCTGTCAAAAAGTCTGAAATACAAAAAACACAACAGTAAAGGCACTTTCTCGGACCGGATCCATGACAGGATATCACAAAACAGCGCTACGCCCTCTGTTGTCCTGGTGGGGAATAACTTTGCAACAATCTCCAGGAAACTGAAGTCTGGGAGCAAAACGGCCGTCAGTGCATGCGTCTCTCCCCCATGGAGCTGACGCAGAAGAATAAACTAGGCTTTACACAGCTGGACCACCAGACAACCTCAGTTCACCGACAGGAAGAGCTGAACAAAACAGGAAATGCTGCTCCGCCAATTAAGTCACTTACAAATCGCGGCGGCTGCTTGGAGTTCCGAGGCTCAATCTCTGAGGACAAACTGAACAGGTAGTCCCCAAATTCCTTCTCACTCATGTCACCCATCGGGTTCAGGTTCTCAAAGAACCTCTGTGCAACAAAAGAAACACAGATATTAACCTCCATTTTTGTGTTTTATGAGCTTGGCTGGTGTTGGGTCGGAGGCCTCACCCTGATCTCTGGCTCCACCTTCAGGCAGTAGGGCTGGTTCTGGTACTGCTGGATCTCTCCTGTTATTTCAGCTACTTTTTTCCTTTTGCTGAAGTTGATTAAAGCTTTATCGGGACATTTAGGGTCGTCACGTTTGAAGTCAGGGTTGCCCTCCTCCGTCTTCAGAATGTTGGTTAAATAGATACCTGAGGGTGAAAACCCAAAAAATGTGTTGATGTAATACTTAGTTTAATCTTTTTAAGGATTCAACCTGAAATAAAATAAAGGATTTTGTCAGAATTTTAAGAGACTTGCAAGAGAGCAAATTTACGCAGGACAGTTTTATGTACCTGTAATTTTACTTATTGATACTTGAGCTGCGCAGCAACAGTGTGGAGAACTTACCAAAGAAAGGCACGCAGGGCGGGTTTATGGACTTGAGTTTAGCTAAATATTTCTTGAAATGGTCTTTGCTGAGCTCCACTGCCTCCTCTAGAACTCTCCTCTTCCGTTCTGGTATTGCCTTTGGGACAAAAGATGGAAAAGTCAACATAAATAAATGTAAAAGGTCACAAGAGTTTTGAGCAGCGGCCTCATGAATTAAAACTGTTCTAACCGCTGCGTTCCTCATATAACCTCATCACATGACTCACCTCGAAGGTGTGGTCTAGCCTGTAGACCGGGGAAGAGTTGGCAGCACTGACCACCTCCAGCACACCGTTAAAGTTGTTGAGCTCTTGGAAAACCTGCAGAATCTCAATGACGCGTAATAAGACCGCCACCCTCTCCTCCAGGTTCTTAGTCTCCACAATACATCTGCAACACAATCACAATCAGATTCATTCATCTCACAGAGGAGGTTACAACGTGAGAGGAGTGATGGGACTCACTTTTCGAACCACAGCGTCAGGTTGGTGGTGTGGCGGATCATGCGGAGCAGGTTAGGAGAGTTCTTTTCTTTTCCCTCTTTGGTCCAGACGCTGCCGACCAGTTCAGATGGGCGGACGGCTCTGCGGACGGCGTATTTAGAGTTTGAGTACTACACATTGATTCTGAAGTCAAACGCTTTGATTAGCACCTTCAAGATTCACCTGTAGAGCTCCGACTCGAGCAGTGTCAGCTGGCGAGCGATCTCTATTGGGTGAAGGGTCATGAGATCAAACTGGTCTGCTTGGTTGGCTCTACAAATGTGCCACTCGATGGGAGGAGGAGGATTCCCAAAGGTGATGTTGTGACTGATGCCATTTGACTGAGTCTGGAGTTTCCTCTGGATGATTTTACTGATGGACTCCACCCACTTTTTCATTGACTTGCCTAAAAGAAAACAAGCAAAGCTTTTTTGTTGCATTATTCAAACACACATCGAACACCACGATACTATTAAAACGAAGCAGAACAACACCCCACAAGTGTGATGTGATTTCACTCAGATCAAACTGTGCTGTTCTTGTGAGAGCTTTTTCCACTTTCACCAGCAGCTGAGTCTTTTACTGGATCATCACAGAAAAACTGCAATTTAAAAACAAAGCTAACAGCTGTTTGCAACAGGGACACTAAACAACCGTTCACCACCCAGAAAAACGCAAACCAGGAAGGCAAAAGGCTGGGCTTTAGTGCCGCTTTTGATGTTTGCATGCATATGCTGCAACCACATGGATGTGATGCAATACAAAAATAAGCTATTTTAAGAAAAAGTGCTCATCCTGCAGTGAATTTGTTTTAAACAGCAGCAAAATAAACTTATGACCTGCCATTGATTAGCTTATTTTTCTTATTGTAAATCTTTAAAAGGAGACTAGGCAGTTTTGGCTTGCTTATAACACCCCCTAGTGTTCGTTTGAAGAACCAAGAGCGCTGTGCGGTCACCTTTTTAAACGTCTCCCCAGCCTTCTTTAGTGTCCTCAGGGGTGATTCATCACTAAATTAAACAAATCGGCTGTGTTCATGATCTAAAACATGCAGGAAACGAGCTGGAACCAGACTGAAGCGCCAGGTATGTCAGACCAGACCGCCACTCTGAAGTTGCAAGTGGAATATTCTGGTATTATTAATATCTCTATTAAATAAGCATGGTTAGGCTAAATAGTGTTTACATACACTGCTTTGCTTGTTAAAAGCTGGTTGCTATGGTATTTTAGTTTCATGTGCTATGAAAGTAACAGCATTTTTCTGGTAGTCGTATAGTTTAGCAGAAACTCTTATTTCTCAACACAAGAAGGTCTTAGCGTACAACTCTGGCCTGAGATGTGTTAGGCTGTTTTATTTCAGGTCGTTCAAAATAATTTTTATTAACTAATAACACCAATGGACACTCAGTATTTGTTAAAAAATGGAACATTAAACGGGTTTTCACCATATCTTGAAACCAAATACAGGTTGCATCAAAATTAGACATTAATTTTAATTATTTTTTCATGTTACCAGGTAAACACGAGTAAAACCTACATGTGTACTTCATTCCAACAGGTGTGTAACCCCACCAGTGTCAGCATGACTAACCTCGCAGTTGAATTTCAGTGGCGATGCAGTTCTCCAACTGAGCTCGCAGGTCCGGGTCGTTTTCAAAATCATAGAAGTGATGTTCGACCCACTGACGGAACACGTTGAGAACCCTGTGAAGAATTAAATGGTTACTTATCCCATCACACATTTACAGGTTGTTGCAGTGACTAATTAAATGTGTTCTATGTAAAATATGAGCTTTAATTGAACAGAATAACTGTTTGATATTTGAGGGTTTTTTTCTGATGATACGGCAGTCCTAAATTATTCATTTTTTTTAGTTTTATGTTTAATTATAATCTGACTAATACTCAGTTTTATTTAAAGGAGTAAGTTTTATTTAAAGGAGTAATTTTTAATCTGACAAGAGCATACTGTTTGTTTTAAAGGCCCCATGTGTGAAATCCATTGAAATCATGATGAAAAAATGTGACTCTTTAGCGCCACGCAGTTCAGAGAAAGTATTGCAGCTATGGTGGCTCACTCATGAGTTTGACTGTATAATCAATTTCTAACCTGTCTAGCCTAACCCACACGAAGCTTAAACCAAGCTGCTCGACCTCTTTAAAAAAGCATTTATAATTATGACTGTTTATCAACCTACCAGTTCTGAAGGAAGCAAGCTAGTTCTGTTAGATCTTGAAGCGGTCACGATTCACACATGGAGGAGGGGTGACGTCAGCCGGGAGGTCAGGTGTTGTGAGAAATTGTGTCCCCTGAAATATTCTGTCTCCCCGTGTCGGGAGATCACACTTCTGGCTATTTTCACAACACTGGTGCTAAACTTTTACGGGAAAATGATGTAATAATGTTTGTGATTTTTTATCTGTATTTCCTCCTAACAACAATAAAAAAGATACAGTAAAAACATTCTTGTTCACTATTTTGCAGCAAGCTTATTTATCATTTTTGAAAGTTATGTAAAAGGATGTAATCTCACTCAGTTTAACCATCTTTTATTTGAGGTAGTTTAGTCCTCATAATGGACAATAAGTTCTGTTGATTTGGAAATATTTGCTCTGACTGCTTAAGGGACACAGAATATTTCAGGGGAACATAATTTCCCACAACACCCGTTTCAAGTGGATCACGATGCGCACAATGTAAACAAACTGGCTACCGCTACAATCTATGGAGCGATCACTGGCTGCTCGTTAGCCATGGCTGGCTCAGGAGGGTTGGTGAGTCGGGGACACGATGTGTGTAAACTCCCACGGATTACCTGAAAAGGAGACCCAAGTCTAAAGGTAACATTTGAGAAGAAGCCCTCTGTGTCGGAGCGTCTCTGTAACGCGTGGAGAACTACATCGCTGTTAGTAAAGTGTTGTGGAGATAAAGTAAACAACGCTGATTTAGCCACTGGCTAGCGGACGAGCGCTGGAGCGCGTTGGGAGAGACGGCAGGCTGCGGGAAGAGAGGACACTTGAGTAGACCTAAAAAGCAGTTTAGCAGCAAACTTTGTAAAAATTAATATTTATGTCATTCTCAAAACTTTTGGCCACGACAGTAATGTTTTTCTGGTTGCATGTGGCAACTGTATAAGGGCGTGTTTTGCTATCATTTAGATGCAGATAATACTTGGGTTATATAATTCTTTTGGTTTAGCACTGGTGGCATCCATTTTTTCTAAGTTGGGAACGAGCTTGTTACGTCCGAGGACAACTAGAACGCACGATAAGTTTAGATCACCCAAATCTGTTTTCCCAAATTATACTGCAAATTAAGCTGGCTTTTAAACACAAACACAGTCATGAAACTCTTACCCTTCCCGTCAGCTATCATCCCTAGGCCACGCCCCCCTGATATCAGAACGTATTTTGCCACAGTAAACCACAAAACACCAGTCGGTGTTTTCTAGGTGCAAACATCTTTTGTCGTCCGTGACTTCAAATGGTGCTTTTCTTTTTGGGACTCAGGTAGTTTGCCCTAAAGTTGAAGTGGTAGCAGCCAGCTGTTTCTCCTCTGGTATTACTGAGGAGAACCTCTCACACCAGTGGTGTTCTGTTGCAAAAAATTTTTTATCTCCACAAAATATTTAACCAGAACTTTGTTAAGAGGAATGGGAAAAAAATCTGAGCTAGCTTGATGTGCAGATTTTCCATTGTAGCTTTAAGCTCCAACATCTTTAGGGTCGTCATTATTGTGGTTTCTTTGGGCACGAGGCCAGCAGACGAAAACGATCAAACAAATGAACACAGAGACAAGTCTACTGCCATAGGAAAATCATATTATAAGGCCCCTAATAAGGCCCCTAATTCAAGTGCAAAATAGCCAAACACTACATAGACCCAAATATTTTTAAATGCACACTCTTAATACATTGTTAAAGTTATGAAAGGAAATCAAAACGCTATAGTTTGATTATATAAACCCAATTAAGTAACATAAAGACGACAAAAAAAGAAATGACTTCAAAATCAATTCTGCAAGTTTGATATAACCATTTAAGTATCTTATAATCCAGTTCTGGATCGGGCTGGGTGTTTAGAACAACTGGACCACTGTTGTACCTGAGCTGGACAGGCTGCACATACTCCTTTCTGAACCTTTGGAGTTCGGTTGTCGTTGGCGGATTGCCATCCCAAATAGTCATTCGTTCTTCCTCTATCTCTTTCTCTGCTGATCCAGGAATATTGATCCTAGAAAAAGAGATGCGATACATATGGACGTCAGAATTTCCACAATACCTAACCATCTGGAAACATTAAGAAACGCGTAATCTTAATGAAACATGGAAGAACTGCTCTCCTAAGATCTACCTGTTTATAAGCAGGGTAAGAAGCTCCTGTGGTTTGCAGAATGATCGGTAGGTGGTCAGAAATGTGCGAACAAAGTTTGGATCTAAAGAAATAAACACAAAACATAAAAAAATCTAATACAACAAGTTTTTTTTTTGCTCTACTCTGGCTGCTGCAGATGCTTACCAGCATACTTGTGATAGGTGAGCCTCTCTATAAGTTTGACCACTGTTCCAGCCTTAATAATAGGAATACCAGTTTTGCTTTGCACAGTGTCCTCAAATACTATATTTTCTTCAGAGTCCTGCTCTGCAAACTGGTAAAACTTAGGGGAGGGCAGTCTCAGAGGATGTTCTTGCTCTTCGTTTTGCAGCACTGTGTCCAACATACGATCCAAAGTGGAGCGGTACTGAAGAGTAAACAGCGCCGCCAACCAGGATGTTTTCTCCTCTGATGTCCTTGCACAAAAAATTGTGCTAATGTCATTGAGTGATAGTTCAAAAGCATTTGGAAGATCCACCCTTTCAAAGTCCTTGTAGTCCTTAACTTGGATCTTCCTCAGCACAAACTTCTCTTTGAGCCGGAACTCTGCACTGGTACCAGACCCAGGAAGCCGTAAACTTTGATTGGCCTTGCAGCTGATCATAAGGCCATCAAACAGGAAGTTGTATCTCTCGTGTTTAGCACCCGCTCGAAACAGATATCCCTCCAAGATGAACTCGTTGCAACACTGACCAATGTCTTTCCCCTCCCAGCCATCAATGGTTTTTTGGATCTCTGTCATGCGTTTGATGGCTTGTTGTTTGTTTCGAACCTGCCGATACAAACGGAACATGGGCTCCCTGTGAAGAGTTAGAACGTTAATGAACTCTTTAAACCAAAAAACACAAAAATATTAATTTTGTTTCAGTGTAAATCATTTAATACAAAACTAATCATCAAGGACCAAGCAGCATACCCAAGTTTGAGTCGAGACATGCTCCTGGCACAGCTACGCTCTATGCTACCCTGCAGGTGGAGTAACGCTGTAACGGCCTGTTTCAAAAATTCTTTGTCATCTTCGTCTTTACTGCGGTCCTGAAGTTGCTGCAAAAGCACCAGAAAACATTTTACAAAACACTGAAATTTACTCTTGGGTTTTCATAAGAAAAGCACACAAGAACTTCAGGGGCTGGATTAACCCATCACTGTTTTAGTGTTTAAGGTCTACAGGTAAATGTAGACAAGCATTTACGTCGCTTTGAAAAAGCCATAAAAAATTTAATGAATCAGGAAATCCTCTGGAGGTTTCTTCTTGTTAAAAGGGAGTTTTCCTCTCCACTGTCGCTGCATGCTTGCTTAGTATGAGGATTGCATCAAGTCACAGACACCAGTCAGTGACTTGATGCAATCTGCTGGGTTCCTTATATGGGAAACTTTTAACTAATTGGCTTAATGAACTGAACTCAATTGGAATTTTTTTTTTGTTAAGTGCCTTTAAACAACTCGTTGTGATTTGGCGCTATATAAATAAACTGAAATGAACCACGTCAAGAATTTACATCAAATACTGGGATGGCCATCTGGACAAATATAATAACCACTGATGATTGGATGAGTCTCCTTGTTGTTGTTTTTTGTTTTAAGTTTAAAATCGTATCCTGTTTTATCTTCTCTAGATTAATTTACTCTTTCAGTAATTTCAACTTGTAAGAAAAATGTAAAATTAAAATGTGAACATGATCTCAGGTGGAGTCTTTGGTGTTGGTATAAATTCTCTGACCAACACAACATGTGGAAATCCAGTAGAATTATGTAATATTCCTCCATAAAAAATAATTATTAAACAACTACGTTCAGTGTTGGACTGCAAGCTGACCACAGCTTTTGTATGAAGTGCATACCTGTAGCAGCTCAAAGTAGCGCTTGCAGTGGTGCACAGGTATTAACATCAGCTGGGGAAGGACGTACTGCACAATTTCAGGAAAACCGTCTGCAACTGACTGAAAACACAAAGAAATATTGAATATTTACTAATAAAGTACAAAAACTATTAGCTAGCATACAATAAAGGCTCGATCCATCTAAAATCCAAGGCCTTAATATGAACGCATTAAATCATTTTAAAAGAAAGAACAGGCTTAATTTTTTTATTTCTCAACAAATTTTATGTGCATCATCATCATCATCATCATCATCATCACAAAGAAAGATCTCTGTATGGAAAAACAGTACATTCATTTAAGAAAACGGAACCTCAGTTGACAGCACAGTTCAGTCTCCAAATGTAAAGCTGCTTCAAAGAGAGCAACAAGAAAAGTAGCACAGTAAAAGGGGTGTGTGTGTGTGTGTGTGTGTGTGTGTGTGGGGTGGGGGTAAAGGGGGTAATAGTATCCACTTTAATCTTCCAATCCCCTGATAGATGACTCACAATCAATATGCTACTACTTAAGAGTCCACAGCAGCAGCTACAGTATCAGCATGGAGGGAATCGGGAGGAATCAGCTGCACTGATGGACAGCAGGGAAACAATGAGCTACATTTAGATCGTGGTATTGATATGTCAGCAATATATTTACATTTGCACAGCAAATTAAAGCAGACTCGTGGAAAAAAACAAACCGTGCACTTCACAACACAAAGACTATACACAACGCCATCAAACATTTTAGCTATATGGTAAAATATGTAATACTATCCAATTTTCCCAGCAGTTGATGTTAGTTACTTTAAGGAGATGACATGTGAATCATGTTATTTTTCTAAAGAAATTTCTGGACAAAATAAAAGAGGTGTAATATATTACTCGATCTTTTTTGGCCTCATCTTCTCATAAAAGGTAGAACAAAACAAGAATGCAAATGCACTCCGATGTTTTCTACACACACCAACTACTTTAATACGTACTGCTTGTTGACACAGAACTAATCAGCTAATCAGATGAAGGCAACTAGATCCATTTATTCATCAAGATGTGGTGAAGATAACCAGCTGGAGATCAAACTGAGCATGAGAATAAAAAAGGAAGGAGATTTAAGAGACTAAAGTTGTGCCAGACTGGCTGGTCAGAAAACTGCAGACCTACTGAGATTTAAACCCATCTAGGGTTTACAGAGAATAGTCTGAAAAAGAGAAACAATCTAGACCAGCAGTTGTGTGGACAAAAATGTCTGGCTGAGGTCAGAGGAGACTTGTCCGACTGGTTCGAGATGATAGAAAGACAACAGGAGCTCAGATAACCATTGGTGTCCACCAAGGTCGGCAGAACTGCATCTCTGAACCAGTATGGAGCAGATGGACTCCAGCAGCAGAACACCACACCTAGTGTCACTTCTGTCAGCTGAGAACAGGAAACTGAGGATCAAATTTCCCACAGGATCACCAGAGCTGGACCAGAAGGGACTGGAAAAACCTTTCCTGGTCTGACGAAGTCTGGATTTCTGCTCAGATGTTAAGATTGTCGGGTCAGAATTTGGTGTCACCAACATGAAAGCATGGATTCATCCTGCCTTGTATCAAAGCTTCAGGCTGCTGGTGGTGTAATGGTGGGTGGTGTTCTTGCCCACTTTGGACCCCTCAGTACCACCTGAGCCTAGTTTAACCACCACAGCCTGAGTATTGATGCTGACCATGTCCAACCCTTTATGACCATATTGACCCATCTTCTGATGGCTACTTCCAGCAGGATCATGCACCATGTCACAAAGCTCAGATCATCTCTTAACTGGTTTCTAGAACATGACAATGGGTTCACTGGACTCCAACGACCTCCGGTGTCACCTGATCTCAGTCCAGACTCTTTGGGATGTGGTGGAATGGGAGGTTTTCATCATGGATGCAACTGTGTGATGATGTAATCAAAACCTCTGAGGAACATTTCTAATACTTTGTTTGATCAATGACATGAAGAATGAAGATAGCTCTGAAGTCCTACCAGGAGTGACCAGAGGGTATTTCCTGTTTGTTCGTCAACGATACATCATTTCATATTAGGTGACGACATGCCTGCGTCTGCAGAAGTGAGTCACAATAAGTCTAAAGTGGTTCCACATTACAGGATCCAGGATGAAATTATTCAGGTTCACTACATCGAAAGGCATTTTCACTCAAGCTTAATTTTGAAAGTAAATCATGAAAAGTGGCTTTCTGCTCATTTAAAGGATCAATGTCAAGTTATAAAGATGAAACTTCATCATAAACGGTCTAAATGTGTCTCCAAGCACATTAAAATGAGGCACAAGATTTACCAATTTATTCAAAATTTTATTCTTAAAACCTTATGTAGCATGGAGCAGCCGTCATCTTTTACTCCTCAGGAGACAAATGGCTCACTATGTGGTTGTGCTATTTTTAAAAGCCGATGTAATCTACCCACAATAGCAGCGGGTGCAGAGGGTGAGTGCTCGACACACACACAGATCTGACACAACAGGAGGGAGAGAGAAAGATGAAGGCTGAACACAGAAGCTGTGAAGCAGAGACCAATGGTCCCACTCCCACTGGTCTGATCCCCATTACAGCAGGAGACATGCAGATACCCAAGATTCTGCACATAAACACGTCAACATCACAGCTGAAGTTGAAGAGGCTATTTTTGGCCTCCGTCTTTATTTGTTGTTGATTCATGACCTTAAGTTTAATTAAGTGAGCCCTGTTGTATTTTCAGTGTAGTTCTACAGGTTTTAAATTTAATTTGAAGCAGGCCTGATATGCTGCCTTTAGAGATTTTTTAGCTTGCACAGACAGGTTCTATTAAAAGAATTTCTTAATTCAACCGATCCGGTAGCAATCAAGTCTGGGTGTGACTCGTGGAACTGAACAGAGCTTTCCAAATACTGTGGTTCATCAATGTTCATTAGTGATTTTACAAGGGGAGGGGGGGGGGGGGGGGTAGTTGGAAACTTTTTTTTCCCTTTAATCAATAGTGATCACATGAAAACTGTATTGTGTGAGAGAAGATTGCTGATGAAAAGGGACCAATGCCTTCTCTGGGTCAGGGATGAGGCCCTGCCCCAAATGGAGGAGTTTAAGTATCTTGGTGTCTTGTTCATGAGTGAGGGAAAGATGGAGTGCATGATCAACAAGCAGATTGGTGCTGCATCTGCAGCAATGCGGGCATGAACAGAGAGCTGAGCCAGAAGGCAAAGCTCTCAACTTAGCGGTCAATCTATGTTCCAACCCTCACCTATGGTCATGAGCTTTGGGTAGTGACTGAGAACGAGATCGTTGATACAAGCGGCCGAAATTAGTTTTCTCCACAGAGTGTCTGGGCTCTCCCTTAGAGATAGGGTGAGAAGCTCGGTCATCCGGGAGGGGCTCGGAGTAGACCAGCTGCTCCTCCACGTCGAGAGGAGCCAGTTGAGGTGGCTTGGGAATCTAGTTAGGATGCCTCCTGGACGCCTCGCTGGAAAGGTTTTCTGGATACGTCCAACCAGTAGAAGACCTAAAGGAAGACCCAGGACAGACTGGAGAGACTATAAGCCCCCTTCAGACAGGCCATGAAAAACGGAAATGTTCCGGAATCTGTCCGTAAGACCTCTGTGTCTGAATACAAACATCCGGATAACGTGTTCCGGAATTTATCCGGACGAAGCCCCAAGTAACAGGTCCGAACTTGTTACGGACAGGGTGGCTGCTTCAGACTAGTGAGGTAAAGTTCCGGACAAGAGGGAGGGAGAGGAGGAGGGGACTGGGGGATGCTGTGCGCACCTATATAGCCCGCTGCTGTAGAATGCGGCGAACCACGACAGCTCGCCTCCTACGGTACCGTCTAGACGCGCGACGGAGCGCTTCACACCGCTTCACACCGCTTCAGTGATTCCTTTAACCATTGAGCTTCATCATCCAGGTCTCTTATGCGTCTTCGTGTGGGCAGAATTATGCTTAAGCGCCTCGTGATTTTTATCTTGAGAGGCGCTATAGAAATGATATTTTCTTCTTCTTCTTCAAATTCAATTCAAATTCAAAAATACTTTATTAATCCCAGAGGGAAATTGATTGCTGTAGTAGCTCAGGATAATAATAATAATCAAGTCATCAAAGAGTTGTTGTATATTACAATGGCTGTTGGCAGGAAGGATCTCCAGTAGCGGTCAGTGTTGCAGCGAAACTGAAGAAGCCTCTGACTGAAGACACCCTTCCGTTGTCTGACAGTCTTGTGAAGAGAATGCTCAGGGTTGTCCATAATTTTCTTGATTCTATGGAGAATCCTTCTTTGCATGATCTCCTCCAGTGGTTCCACAGTCGTCCCCAGAACAGAACCAGCCTTTTTTATTAGGCTGTTGAGCCTTTTCCGGTCCCTGCTTCTGATGCTGCTACCCCAACAGACGATGGCTGAAGAGATTACACTCTCAACAACAGACTTGTAGAAGATCTGCAGCATCTTGCTACAGACATTGAAGGACCTAAGCGTCCTCAAGAAGTGCAGTCTGCTGTGTCTCTTCTTGTAAACGGCTTTGCTGTTCTTTCTCCAGTCCAGTCTGTTGTCAAGGTGAACTCCAAGGTATTTGTATTCCTCAACCACCTCCACTTCTTCTCCCATGATGGAAACAGTGTTTGACTCCACCCTGTTTCTTCTGAAGTCTAAAATCATCTCCTTTGTTTTGTTCACGTTCAAGGTCAGATGATTGTTTCCACACCATGTCACAAAGCGCTCCACCAGCTCTCTGTACTCAGCTTCCTGTCCATCTCTGCTACACCTGACAACTGCAGAGTCATCTGAGTATTTCTGTAGATGACAGGTCTCTGACTTGTACTGGAAGTCTGAGGTGTACAGGGTGAAAAGGAATGGTGAGAGTACAGTCCCCTGTGGTGCTCCAATGTTACTGATCGCCTGGTTTGATGTGCAGTTCTTCAGCCTCACAAACTGTGGTCTGTTTGTCAGGTAGTCTTTAATCCAGGCGATAGTTGAGGCCCCCACCTGTGTCTTTGGAGTTTCTGGCAAAGTACATCAGGCTGGATTGTGTTAAATGCACTGGAGAAATCAAAGAACATGACCCTCACAGTGCTGCCTGCTTTGTCCAGATGACAGTGGATTGGTTGAAGCAGCTGGATGATGGCATCTTCAACTCCAACTCCATGGCGATAAGCAAACTGCAGCGGGTCCTGATATGTTCTAGTTTGCTTATTCAGGTGGACCAAAAGGAGTCTCTCCAAGACCTTCATGATGTGGGATGTCAGGGCAACCGGTCTGTAGTCATCATTGGCTGATGGGCGAATTTTCTTTGGAACTGGAACAAGGCAGGATGTCTTCCACAGGACTGGAACCTTCTCCTGGGCCAGGCTGAGGTTGAAGAGGTGCTGCAGAATCCCACAGAGCTGCTCTGCACAAGCCTTCAGTACCCTGGGGCTGACACCATCTGGACCTGCAGCCTTGTTCCTGTTCAGTCTCTCCAGCTGCCTCTTCACCTGACTTCTAGAGACAGATAGGTGGGAGGGGGAGGTAACTGGGGCAGCAGCATCTCCTGACTTGGTTGAAGATGGATTTATAGAACCAGAAGAGTCCATGACTGCGTTAGAGGACAAAAGAGCTGGCGTGTGACAGGAAAATGTTGGATCAGAGGAGGATGGGATATCTGATTGGCTGGGGACAGGCGAGAAGGATGCCGGGTTTGTTCCTGAACTGAACCTATTGAAGAACTTGTTCAGTTCATTGGCTGTATCCAGGCTGCCATCTGTGCAATCCTTCCTCTGCTTGAAACCTGTGATCTTCTTCATCCCTGACCAGACATCTCTGATATTAACATAAGTCTTCTTAACATAAGTCCGATTCTCTCTCTCCCCACCACCCCACCGCCGTCAGACATCTGGAACTTTTCCCTGCTGTGTGAACGCAGCCGAAAGGACAAGTTCCGGTACAAAAGTGGTGTGTCTGAAAACACAGTTCTGGTTAAAAACCGGATTGAATTGTCCACAAATGTTCCAGAATGTCTGTCTGAAAAGGGCTTATGTCTCACGGCTGGCCAGGGAACGCCTTAAGGTTGGTTTATGCTTGACGCGTCCGCGAGGTCCGCACGGCTCCGCGCTGAAAAGTTGCGTCATTTTGCGTCATTTTAACAACCACGCCCCTCCACCGCGTCTCCGCACGGCCCAAGATTTCCGCAACGCGCACCTCGGAAATTTTCTAAAGGTTGGTTTATGCTTGACGCGTCCGCGAGGTCCGCACGGCTCCACGCGGAAAAGTTGCGTCATTTTGCGTCATTTTAACAACCACGCCCCTCCACCGCGTCTCTGCACGGCCCAAGATTTCCGCAACGCGCACCTCGGAAAATTTCTAACCACGCGGACGGTCGGACGCGGAAAAACATGGCGGACCGGCACGGCAGAGGTTCGTAAATACAGACATTTGTATGATTCAGCTCTCAAAGATCACCGTGATCAACATGTTGTTAATAATTCTTGGAGAGAAATAGCTCGCACTGTCGGAAAAGACGAGGACGCTGTTAAAAATGCTGAAATGCCGTGTTGTAAACAGTGATTTCTACTTCTACTATGGTGTAGTGTTGGATGCATGCTGTAGAGCTCCATGCTGCCCCGTTCAGTTTGGGAGAATATTGGCTCACCGCAGAGACGAGCCGCACAAACCATAAACGCTGCGAGTTGTGAAGCGCGTTCCAGCCGCGAGCCGCATCACCGCGCGGAAAGTGAATGCGTCAAGCATAAACCAAGCTTTAGGATTCCCCCGGAGGAGCTGGCCCAAGTGGCTGGGGAGAGGGAAGTCTGGGCGTCTCGCCTTAGGCTACTGCCCCCACGACCTGACCCCAGAGAAGTGGCCGAAAATGGATGGATGAAAACTCTTCTCCTCTCTGGCTCTCTTTCATGCAAAGACCATCTAAAAATAACCATTGGGTGTGAGTATTGAGGGTTTAGTGGCAGTGATGTTGAGCTAACACCTTGAATGACCACAGAGGAATTACAGTAAATTAGTTGGTCTGTTTTTCGCTTTACTTTGTCCAAATGGAATGTACCAGAGAGGTTTTATCTAACTGATGCAAAATACTGGAAATTAAGAGCAGAAATTGGTCTCATTCTGCTAAAGCTGTTCCTGTGAGGAGGTCTGGAGCCTCATAATGCATTACTTTGTTGTTTTAGGCCTAAGTAAACAACAGCAATCATTTCATCTTCAAACGCTGCTAAACGACACCGCTGAGCCCATGTCAGTGCTATTCAGAGAGAGAGGAATGTCCCAAATAAAACAAAAACGCAGCGGTGAATAAAGTGTACACACAGGACGCTGAAGATGTCATGACATGCCCTCAAACCATATTGAAGAAATTCCATCTAACAACTTGGTTCACTTAAAAGAAAAAGCAAGGACAAAAACCATGCTTACTGGGTGTGAACACCACTTGTACTTTTATTTTGATACATTTTCATGTTTCATGAAATACTTTCTACTGAAACTCACAAAAGCAAAATAATTCAAAGTCAATAGTTGAAGAAAAGGGCGACCCCCCCCCCCCTCCAATGTTTAAAAAAAAATTCAATAAGCAAATAGAAAATGTCTGAAATGAACTGGTGCTTTTAATAAACAGCTAATCAAACAAAAACACCCACCTGAAGATACTTCTGAGCTTCGGGACTTTTCACCAGACTTTCGAGGTGCTGGTTGAACGTCGGACTGAGGACATCCTGGCACAGGCCTTCATAGGGGTCAAATGCCTGCTCCTACTCACACACAAAATAAATCAAACATTAATTTACTGTGAACTATTTCAAAAGGTTCAAGTTTTATGTTATTAACAGTAGTCAATACCGCAATGTCAAGGAACATAAAAGTCAGAGCTCTGAAGCAGGGAAGTACAGCATTGGTACTGTTTAGTGGGAGCACATAACAGTTGTAGAAATGGTGCCCCTCAAGGGAAACAAGGGAACACTTTAAACAGAAAAGACGACTAGGTGAGACCGTTGTTTTGTGACAAAACGTTCCTCCTCCTGTGCGAGTCTGTTCCTCACTGTATCTCTCGCGCTCTCTTGCTTTAGTTGGATGAATCAAGTCTTTTTAGTGCTCAAATTCACATATTAGCCCAAAAACTTGGCACTGATATGTCTCTGTGGAACTTTAAAGGGATACTATGCAACTTTTTCATATTTTTAAACCATCTTCGTGAGCCAGTATGTGCTAAAAGGACCCTTTACAGGGTTAACGGAATGTCACTCAGGCCCCACAGCCCCCTGTGGCCAGAATACCACACTTGCAACTTAAAAGTGGGCATTGCTCTCTGCTGGAGGAGGGAGCTGTGGAGTGGAGTGGAGTTGACATGGTGGAGCTGGAGTCTGCTTTCAGCCCGTTTCCTGATCGTGAATATGGCTGATTTGTTTGATTTAGTGGTTAACCACTCCTGTAGACACTAATGAAGGCTGAGGAGACAATTCAGCAGTTAGATGAAGGTGTTAAAAAGATGAACTCACAGCTAGGAGATAAGTTTATAATCAAATAATCAATTTCCCTCTGGGATTAATAAAGTATTTTTGAACTGAATTGAATTTTCAATTTAACCACAGTGAATTAATAGTAGACACGGGGGGGGCTAAAAGCAAGAAAAACTGAAAGTGTGTCTTTAAAGTTGTTTCTAAGACCTCAGCGTTTTCTCTGTGTTAGAAGTTTTTCCTCAGTTAGGATTTTTATCATGAGACAGATTTTAATCAAACAAGCTTCTGTGTCGCTTGAAGGCAACTCAAATTATTAGATATGAACATTAAACAGGCCTTTAACACAATGAATGATAATTAAACAAAGGGAATTTCTGTTCTTAAAGGACTTTAGCTCCTCCAATAACAAATCTTTTATGTTATATCTTCTAAGTATCTGTATTTAAAGTTGTATTCTTTGTTTCCTGTGTATTTAAACTATCAATGAGAGGTTTTGGACTCTTTATAATCACTTCCCAATAATTCTCATAAAAATTACATCCACAAAAATAATAATTTACAAGCCACATATCACATACCTATTTATATGTTTTTTATATTTGCAATCACATGACAAACAAGACATTTCTGTGCCTTTTATATAAACGAACTCCCCATAACCGAGGCTATTAGATGTTACCTCTGCTAGATCTTCAAAGCAGCTGCCCACCAGTGGATGAGGACTGTCGTCAGCGGTCATCTCTACTGCATCCTCGATGAGTCCATGAAGCTTCACTGTCAACTCATGGATGTCCATGATGTTACTGAAGACCTTCTCAACAAGCTGCAATAGAAGAGGAATTTACAGAAGGATTCAGAATCTGTTGAAAACCCGACTGGAGGTTGACTGACCCATTTGGTTGTGTTTGCACAGATCCCCTACGTCCCAACTAGCACGGACACCCCAGCATCAGCCATCTGAGTGTGAGCAATTTCAGATTTTAGCATAATTGAGGTTATTCTGGTGGAGGCTGCAGATGTTGTCCCCATCTCAACCTAATTGCATGTTCTGCGTTCCTCTGGGCCTCACGAAGGTTTATCCTCCTCACCCAAACGATTACCACAAATTACCCAACCCAAAATATGCAAAGCCACAGCGAAACTCAACTTTCCACTCAGAAATTCTAAACCTGTAGACACACAGTTCAATTCCTGATTTTAACCGTTACGTTACCTGAAATTTTAAATTTTTTTTATATCACTTCATAAATAAACTTGTGTGATGTCTACTTTATTCATCTGATTAACTCTGTAGATTACTAGTTGGCGACTTCCTGAGTTCCAGCTGTATTCTTAGTAGGGATTTGGCTGAAGCAGCTTTATGAGACACTTGGAGCAAGCTAGACAAAGCTACTCGATGGCGGGTGGGCTTCAGCTCCATTTTACATGTTAAAGTTATTTTTAAGTTCTTTTTTGCATTCGGAGATTTTATCAGTGTAAATGCACCTGCTCACATGAGTCGTGATTGGGCAATAAGTTCAAGAAAACCTAAGTAGTAGGCAATACTGAAATGTTAAATGCCAGCATGACTCACCTGGGGTGAGAATATATGAGGGTTGCACACAAAATGCTGCCGAAACACTTTGACAATAAGGTCGAGTTCTCTCAGATATTGCCTCTCCTCTGCAATTTCAGACTTCACCAGGTCATCATATGTCTGCTCTCCAGAAGACAAGGGTTCATCTGTGCACTGTGACATCAAGCCAATGTCCTCCTCCTGGTCAAACATGTCCATCAGGACCTAAAAACAAACAGAAAGAGTGGTAAAAAAAGCCAGTAAATTGTATCAACATGATTTCTGTCCCCTTGTGACGTCTGAAAATAAATCAGGTTTCCCACCTTGTCTGCACACATGGACACCTTGATGTCCTGCTGGGTGATATCATAGTGACGAATGTTGCTGACATAGTTCCCTGCCAGTTTGAGTATGTCTGCTGCTATGTATTCAAGCACTGCAGCGATGTACAGGGAAACGTTATAGTCCACTTTGTAGCCCAGAACCTCCTAGTGTACAAAAAGGATGTATGACATTAGATCTGATCACTTCAGGGTGATGTCAATAGGCAAGCTACCCAAACTGTAAACTAAAAAAGAAATATTCTGCAGTAGCTGACTTTCTACAAAAGCTGGACAGTGATGAAAGTGGGATATCTTTACCTTAAGCATTGGGTGGATCTTGTCCACAGGGAGAAGTAAGGGGTTTCTTCTCTTACGTTTCTCACCAGCTGCCTGGGCATCACTAATCGCCCATTTATCTATAGGGTGGGGAAATGTTTTCTGCACGCGGTCCTGTTGAAGAAAGGAGGGAAACATTTTCATGCTTCAACAAAATAATTATAAATGTTCCTAAAAATGTTAAATGGGTGGTAAAAGGTCCGAGGTTTTCTCATTCGACTGCTAACCTCTCACTTTTCTACATTTTTGAATGGTTAACATCTGAGACTGTATGAATTGAAGGGCTATACCTCTACATCCTGCACCGTGCGAGGCTGGGCCATGCACAGCATGTTGAGCAGCTGCAGAATCAGCTCTTCAACATACTGCAGGGCATCCTCCTTTGCTATCAGGGTCGGGTGGACCTGCTCCTGTACCTGAATGTCAGAGACAAACACAGGGGGAGAATGTGAGTGGCACATCCAGGAAATGACATCATACCATGGAAACATTAAAAGGTGTTTCTCTGATAATGCAAGGAAGTAAACTTGGGGCAAGAAATGTTTTCAGGTGCATTTATTAGAGTCTTTCCTGCACTAATTTACCGGGGTTGGTAGCCTGAACGTTTTTCTCAGAAAAACACTGCTAGAACACCAAACTCTGATAATATCGGCCTTAGCAGCGCCACAAAAAGAGAAATGATTAAGTGACCAGATGCAGCACTCCATCAGTTCGGTTCAGCTGCAGCAGCAATCTACTCTTGACATCACCGCTTGCTGCTACCACCATAACACTTTTAAAACCAGGGGAAACCCTGGAGGTGCACTCAACAAGCAAATACTTTTCAGATCATCACATCTAATGCTTTTTCTCCCAGTCGCAGACATTTTCGCCTTTTAGACATAAATTGTTCAACTGTTACCAGCAGCTTGTTCAAACGGCAGCCGGCCCTGACCTCTGATTGGTTCTTTTCTCATGTAGTCCCGCTTGTTCCATTTGCTGATTGGTTCTTTTTTCCGTTCTCCCATCTTTTTCGTTTTCTGATTAGATTTTCTTTACTGTCAATTTTCGTTATTTGTCAACAAAAATGTTGATCAACGTTTGTCATAATTTAGGTCGTATGGTAGTATATATTCTAGGGGGACTTTAACGCTCACGTGGGCGATGACAGTGAAACCTGGAGAGGAGTGGTCGACCAGAGCTGCGGCCGCAAGATCGTTAGTGCCTGTTGTGGTGGAAATCCCTGAACCCACAGTTAGGGATGCTGTCAAGCTGAAGAAAGAGTTAGGTCTTTTGGGCCTGTGGGACTCCAGAGGCAGCTGATATACCGGCAGGCCAAGCGGAATGCGGCCAGGGTGGTCACGGAGGCAAAAACCCGGGCTTGAGCAAAGTTCAGTGAGACCACGGAGCAAGACTTTTGTACGGCTTTGAGGAAATTCTGGTCCACCATCCAGAGCCTTAGAAGGGGAAAGCAGTGCACTACCAACACTGTTTATTGTGGGGATGGTGTGCTGCTGACCTCGACTTGGGATGTTGTCTTTGGGTGGGTGGAGTACTTCCAAGACCTCCTCAATCCCACCGGGACGTCTTCCAGTGGGGAAGCAGTGTCTGGGGACTTTGGGTTGGGCTCTCCAATCTCTAGTGCTCAGGTCACTAAAGTTAAAAGCTCCTTGGTGGCAAGGCTCCAGGTATGGATCAGATCCACCCAGAGCTTAAGACTCTGGGGTCTCATTTATCAAGCTTGCTTACGCACAGAACGCGAACCCGTAAGCAACTTTCCACGCAAACTTTGGGATTTATGAAAGAAAACTTAGCGGAATAATGTGCACAACTTTAAGTTGACTAAGAACCTGGCTTACGCACATTTTGGACATGGAGAGCACCTGCAGTGCTGCTGCTGAGAAGGATACAATTATGAATTCCAGCAGCATTATCACTTGTACCGCTTTGTGAGCACACAGAACAAGCCCCCCTACACGCACACACACACACACACACACACACACACACACACACACAGAGAGAGCTTGAAGTGCAGAATATGGAATGCAGAATATCAGCAGGGGGACAGATTGAGACTGAATGTCATGCATCTGTGACAGTGTGAGCGTCCCGTCACTGTGACCCGATTGATCATGCGCCCTGGCTACTTGGACAAAGTAGAACTCTGTTTGGCTGATTAGTTAGCACGCTTGACTCTCACCTGGGAGTCTGGGGATCGAATACTGATCGGAACATTTTTTTAAATCCGCCACAGATCTCTCTGAAGAACTCACATTGACGGCTTCAGCAATGCTCTGCCACTCTGTGGATGTTCCCTTATTTGTTTTGCAAAAGCACTTCCTTTCATTTTTCCATCTCACCCACAAGGACCTCAATTTCTGCTTGTGAAATAGCGCTTCCTTGTTCTGCAGTTAATGGTGGAGCGCTTCAATGAGCCGGCTTATGTATATGCATGAGATCCACAAGGCACTTTGCATTGACCATTTATGGCAGTAAGTGGGCGGGATGTGACTAAAAAGCAGCTGAGAACCTTTCTCGTGAGTCTCTGATTTATGAAGCGGAGATTGCGTGCAGCTGTGTGTACTCCATGCTTGATAGATCACAAACCTACTTGGCGTAAGTACATTTTTTTGCTGAGCTCAAGTACAGTTTTAGTAAGGACAATGTTTGATAAATGAGACCCCTGGATGTTGTGGGGTGGTGTTGGCTGACGCGACTCTGCAAAATCACGTGGACATCAGGGCAAGTTCCACCAGAATGGCAGACCGGGGTGGTGGTCCCCCTATGTAAAAAGGGGGATCGCAGGGTGTGTTCCAACTACAAGGGGATCACACTCAGATTCAGGGAGAGCAATGTGGTTTTCGTCCTGGCCGTGGAACACTGGACCAGTTCTATACCCTTAGGAGGGTCCTGAAGGGTGCATGGGAGTTTGCCCAACCAATCTAAATGTGTTTTGTGGGTTTGGAGAAGGTGTTCGACTGTGTCCCGGGGGGAGCTGGGCTCTCCCTTAAAGATAGAGTGAGAAGCCAAGTCATCAGGGTGGTGCTCGGAGTAGACCCGCTGCTGCTCCACATTGAGAGGAGCCAGTTGAGGTGGCTCGGGTATCTAGTTAGGATGCCTCCTGGACGCCTCGCTGGTGAGGTTTTCTGGATACGTTCAACCAGGGGAAGGCCTAAAGGAAGACCCAAGACATGCTGAGAGACTACGTCTCATGGCTGGCCTGGGAACACCTTAGGAGTCCAAAGGAGGAGCTGTCCCAGGTGGCTGGGGAAAGGGAAGTATGGGCCTCCCTGCTTAGTCTACTGCCCCCATGACCTGACCATGGATAAGCCGCCGAAAATGAATGGTAGTATAAGTTTTTGTCTGCAAAAATAAATTAGTCACTAAAAATTAAGGCTGCACGATATTAGGAAAACCTGCGATATTCGATAACAGTGCTTAATATTGCGATATCGATATTACTCACGATAAATGAACAAATACTAAAGTATGCAGTGTTGATGTTGTCTGGCGTGTGACGTCTGCTCTGGGTTTAAAGCAAACCAAAACTAATGCATGAATTCCATTACAACATAACATTTTTATTGCAAAAATATGCAGCTGCACCTGCTACTGTATTAGCAGCAAAACAACAAACTGCATGCATGCAGTTTCTCAGTGACTAAAACATCACCTCCACCATAAAACTTTTTCTGATGCTCCAAATACAGAAAAACATCCCTTACCAGGGTTTTTTGAATAAATAAAAACAATCAGAAAATAAGTTTAAATGTTAAATAATAGTTAACATCACTTAAATGCAACAGCAAATTCTCTCATTGCTACTGAGCATTTTCTCCACTTATGTGGTTATGATATAAGGCTGTTGCTGTAACTGGGAAGTGATCTGTGCTGGGCCAAACTAGGAGAAAATTAAGATTTTTGAGGGAAAGAGAAAAACAATTGTCTACCTTTCAGAAGAGGAACTGGCAAAAAAAACTACATGGAAAATATGTGAAAACGTTTGTTTTTAACCCCAAAGTGAACAAGTTTACCTAGATCTTAAAAAGCAGCTCAGATGATGAAACTGCAACTATGATTCTGATAACAAGCTAACAAATTGAACTAGCTCCTCTAGCTGAGCTTCTGACTGACATTTTATGTGCAGCAGCAAATCAACTATCCTGATTAACAAGGTTATAAAAGCTCATAAATGAAAAATCACTTTGATGTGTGGGGGAACTTTTCCAGGCCCTCTTTAGCAGGGTGGGACTGGGAGGAGAGTGCTGTAGCCTTTTAGCTGGAAACTAACCGGAGCCTGGGGCTAACACTAGCGACATGAAGGTGGGTTGGTTCACCGGCACATGTCGGAGTCAGCCCGGTAAAAATGATTAACAACACCGAGCGGAGTCACGTTCACGTTTGAAAGCAGCGCTGATTCCAGAAACCTCAGCACAAAGTGCGTTCGTTGCTCTGAGCCAGCATGACGAACAAGGGAACTGTGCCGCTAATGTTCGGGTGTTGCTTTCCAAAAGTGTCTGTAGGGGGCGGGCGTATTACGTGAACGGAACCATCTGATTGGCCACATATCAGAAGGACTACATTTGATTGGTCGAATAATACTTCCGCGTAAGAAACAGAGCTGGTTTACAAAAAGTTGATGTATGACACGGATGGAAATGTTTGAACCAAACATTTATCGCCGTTTTTGACGTGTTTTGCGATGGGCCTATCGCACGTCCTGTTATCGCGATGACGATAATTTTTCGATATATTGTGCAGCTCTACTAAAAATACATAAATAAAAACAAAGGATTTTGTTAACGAAATTAACACTGCTGAAAAAAGCTCTCTCGCTAATGCTAAGAGTTAGCTTCTACTAGTTGAGGGAGGCACACTCTGTTCTCTCCAGGATGCCAGCCAAGTTGGGTGAGAGCTGTCAAGCTTTTCTAATCAAAGCCTTTCCTCGTCTGTTTTCTATTGCAGCTAATGAGAAACAGGAGTAGAGGACCGTTTTCATGTTTAGCCTGCATGTAAAACTCAGAGTGAATGATCGTATTTGAAAAATAATGTCTTGGTGAACTTGATCTTTACAATATAACTTGTGAATTTTTTTTTACTCTTTCACAACTCAGCACGAAATATGAGCACACTAATGGGATTTGTCAATATGCTCCTCCTCTATCCATCTATCTAGAGAGACTGAAAAGACTGAAAGTTTCAAGCACATTTACAACCTAATGCACATCAGTGTCAATAATGGCTAGAATTTGCACGTTAAACAAACCTAAAAATTGAAAACTGCTGAAATAACCACAATAAGTTTCAAAACCATGTTCCAGTTCAACCTGGGAGCACATCAATGGACAAAATACCACAAATGAACCTGAATAGGCATTGCTAGTACTGATGGTCACCTAATACAATAAAGCAAGCCTTATTTGAAGTATCAGGA